CTTAAAGAGTTTTGAAACATTGGCTGGGCAGAGACAATTCTGCCTGCGGGACTGTCCTGATTAAAAGATCTGTGCTCTGAATATTTCTGACCTTGAATTACAAGCTGTTAACTTCCTAATAAACCCCATAACCCTGAGTATAGTGTCTGAGTTCTGTGTAACCACTGCAGTGAGTTCTAGAACTCAGCATCAGAAAGGCCTGCCTGTGGGCACAGCTGAGGAGAAGGCATATTGACTAGAAGAACTGTGCCCTGAACAGCTGTGACTTTGAATTATAATCTGTTCATTTACAAAGCCCATAACTGTGAATGTGGTGTCGGAGTTCTGTGTAGTCATTGCAAGGAATTCTGGAGCCCAGCATTAGTAGAGTGCTGTGGGAGGAATGGTTGATGCCACATTTTGTTTTGTTTCTTGTATTAGTCTATCTATGCCAATAAATTTGAAAGATAGATCTTTCCCAGTTGATAGGGCACATTCCAAAGAAAGGGGACTTCATGAGATGTGGAAATCCTCAAATAATATCACATGCAAGTAAAATTTTCCTGAAGATAATTTAAAAATGGTTGTGAAGTACATCAACAGGGAGCTGCCAGAAATACAAGCTGAATTCAGAAGAGGTCAGAGCATGAGAGAGATCATTGCTGGTATCAGATGGATCTTGGCTGAAAACAGAGACCAGAAGTATGTTTATTTGTGCTTTATTGACTATGCAAAGACATTCAATTGTATAAATCATAACAAATGATGGACAACATTGCAAAGGATGATTATTCCAGAACACTTAGTTGTGCTCATGAAGAACTTGTACAGACCAAGAGGTAGTCATTTGAACAAAACAAGGAGATATTAAAAGGTTTAAAATCAGGAAAGGTGTGCATAACGGTTATATCCATTCACCATACTTATTCAATCTGAATACTAAGAAAAATAATCCCAGTAGCTGGATTATATGAAGAAGAATTTATTATCAGAACTGCAGGAAAACTCATCAACAATCTACATAAATATGCAGATGGCATAACTTTGCTTGCTGGAAGCCAAGAGCATTTGAAGTATTTACTGATGACGATCAAAGACTGTCTTCAGTATGGATTGCTCCCCAATGCAAAGAAACAAAAATCATCAAAACTGGACCAATAGTTGTTGTTGTTAAGTGCCATCGAGTCGGTTCCAACCCATAGCGACATTGTACAGGGTTTCCGAGGCTGTAAATCTTTACGTGAGCAGAAAGCCTCATCTTTTTCCCACGGAGCAGCTGGTAGTTTCAAAATGCTGACCTTAAGGTTCGCAGCCCAGTTCGTAACCACTACGCTAACAGAGTAAGATCATGATAAAGAGAAGATTTAAGTTGTCAATTATTTCATTATACTTGGATCCACAATCAACACTCATGGAAACAATAGTCAAGAAATCAAATGATGATGTATTGCATTAGGCATTGCACAAAACCTCTTTAAAGTATCAGAACAGATTTCACTTTGAGGTTGAGATGTGCCTGCCCTGAGTTATGGTATTTTCAATTGTCTCATAATGCATGTGAAAGCTAGACAATGAGTTAGGAAGACTGTAGAAGAATTAATAATATTTGAATCATGGCAAAGAATACCATGGATTGCCAGAAGAACAAGCAAATCTGTCTTGGAAAAGTACAGCCAAAACACTCCTTAGAAGCAAGGCTGATGAAGCAACGTCTCACGTATACTTTGACCATGTTGTCAAGAGGGACCAGTCCCTGGAGAAGGACATCGTGCTTGGCAAAGTGGAGAGTCAGCAAAAAAAGTAAGACTCCCAACATGCCATTGGCCTGGTTACAACAATGGACTCAAATGGACTCATCCTGAAAACAACTATGAGGATGACACAGGACATGACAGTGGTTTTTGTTCTATTGTGCATGGGGTTGCTATGAGTCAGAACCAACTCAAAAACACAAGTGCTATTAGAATATGTTTTGGTGCACAATGCACATTTGAGTTTCAGACAATCCTTACTTTTAAGGAAAATAATTCCGAAAGACAAGTAACTGTCATCATAATTCAAATATGTTAAAATGGAACAAGAGTTCCGTCTTGAGCATTCCATCTCCTGACTTTAGAAAATTGCAAGTGCAAATGGTTAATTCCAAAAGTTTTCTGTTTTTTGTTTAATTTATGGGCTGAGAATAACTATTGCAACTTTACCTCTAAAATATTCTTTTGTTCACAGGTCCTTGGTAATGACTTTTTCCATATAGGTATTTTACACATGCTTTTTTGTTATTAAGCGTTGTTGAGTCGGTTCCAACTGAAAGCAACCCTGTATAGGGTTTCCAAGGAGTGGGTGAGTCTAAACTGCTGACATTGTGGTTCAAATTGACTTTGCAGTCTAGTGTATTAGCCCACAGCCCACAGTGCCACACCAGGACTCCTTACATATTTTAAACACCAACAAACACTGCAAACACCTTCGAAAGTTAGATAACACACATAATAGACCATGATCACAAAATATACCAAATAGTTCAATGTTAAGTTAGGCAGTAATGCTATCCCTATACCAGTGAATAGGTGTGTCATGTGTTCCAACATCAGGTATGGCCATTTATGTATTTATTGCTATGGGACATGGTAATCTTAAAGGCGTATCATCACATTAAAAACAAAACAAAACATAACCATGTAATTAGTATTTTCTTGTTTAAAATTTAATTTTTGTAAGTGAAATTTCCCACTAATATCTCATGGATTGCCTTTGTGCCAGTAAACGCAGCTTGCAAAATGCTGTCTTAACACTTACCTTTGACTAGCAATTCAATACTGTTTTTTGTTTTTTTTTTTAATCATATTCTGGAGTGGAGTCCCTGGGTGTCTCAAGGTTAACTGCTAGATTACTAGCTGAAATCGATTTTAACCCACACATAGCCATCTTGGAAGACAGGTCTAGAGAAGGTCACACCTTCAGAACCCTATGGAGCGGTTCCATTCTGCACACTTGAGGTCACCATAAATAAGAATCCAGAGCAATTGGATTAGCATAGTATTCTGAAACTGCTGAAAATTTTGGTTAAAAAATATTTAGAAATATAGACCCCTGGAATGTGAAATAACCAGAATTTGAAAGAAAATAGAAAATAAAGGGGAATACAATAAAGTGAGAAGTCCTGGTGTGGCGCTGTGGGTTAATGTGCCAGACTGCAAAGCCTTTTAAACTGCAAGGTCGGCGGTTCAAGCTCACCAGCTGCTTCTCGGAAACCCTATACAGGGTCGCTATGGGTCATAACCGACTTGACGGCACTTGATGACAATGACGACAATAAAGTGAAACTCTGACCACACAGAGAAGTGAATAGCACTTACCATTTGGTATGGACACGGGGTCCTGGTGTGTCGCTGTACAATAAGCACTGGCCTGCTAACCACAAGGGTAGCGTCCACTCCTTGAAAACTCTATAGTCGCCATGAGTTCGAACTGACTCGATAGCACTTGGTAACAATAATGGACATGGGGTGTGTTGAAAAATACTTGATTCTTGATGAGATTTTTCGCTCCAATGACAAGCTGGACATCTCTAGAATGGGTCATTTTCAAGTCCTCTATTCTGGTAGCGTAGTGGTTACGAAACGGGCTACTAACCTCAAGGTCGGCAGTTCGAAACTACCAGTGGTTCTGCAGGAGAAAGATGAGGCCTGCTCCCGTAAAGATTTACAGCCGTGGAAACCCTGTGTAGGGTCACTATGAGTCAGAGACGACTCCATGGTACTTAACAACAACATTCCTCAAAAATGTAAGGGAGAATGGACTCTGGATGACTTGCAGCTCAGATTTTTACTTGTCACTGGTATTGTCTTTTCAATACAATAAAAGACCACTAGGGGGGTGGGTGGCCGCAGAGTGCAGGACCCTCACCAGCAGTAATCGTAATCGCAAAGGGCAACAGATCTTCTATTACTTTTAAGCAAAAGACTAGTATGGTACGCAGAGCCATGGTACAATCTTGAATCTAATCTATAGCTAACGTGGCTTCTCTGATGTCTCCGTGGGCCCTTCAAGAAAAAACAAAAACGAAAACAACCTCGTCTTTGAATAGTCATAATTGGAATCCTACTTTTTTTTTTTTAAGGCATAATAAAAGGTCACCAATTGCAAAGGGCTGTGACAGTGTATTCTGGCTTCAACCCTACACTATACTTTAAACTAATGTATGCAGAAGTACGCACAGAAATGCTTTGTAAGACTCTTTCTTCTAGAATTCATAACCACTTCTGGTTAGCCACTGACAGCTGCGGTTAGCCTCGGCGTCCGGGTCCCTCCGCCCTCAAAGAATCTCATTTCCTTTACGCAAGTAAGTGAATGAACTCACTTGCTCCCAATACACCTTTCTAGACTTCTTCCCTGGCCCGCCTACTGATCGTAAAAACAAATCCGTGGTCCTGACATGACACAACATCATCAATTCTGCCTAAAACAGACTATTACACAGACTCGCCAGAGAGTTACACCACGACCCAATACCGGGCGGAAAAACAAGGCACAGGCGCACTGATACACTGTTGCCTACTCTGCCCATTTCCCCTCCTTGTTTCGGAAATTTCACTTCCGATCCACACATCTGCTTCCGGGGCAATTATAAGCTCGGCCCTCTAGAGCTTCTACCCTCTTAATGCCAGAAAGGGGGGTGGGGGGGGAGCGAGGGGGTGGGGAAGAGTTCGTTGTTTGTTTACACGATGTGAGCGGAAAAAGAGACCAATAAAGTTTATTCTGGAAACAAAAGGAAAAAAAACAGGGGCGACAGAGAAAGAGACTGGGCGGGGGCGTGTGGCGGGGGCTAAGCGAGGAAAGGGAGTAAGAAGGGGAAAGCGGCAGTTCCGGTGCCGCTGCTGCCGCTGAGATCTTGGGCTGCTACTGCCGCGGCCGCTGGGGCTGGGGCCGCCGGCAGGGCAGGGCTCGGGCCCGGCCGGGCAGCTCCGGAGCTGCGGGGGAGAGGGGCCGGGAGGCGGGGGCCGTGGTGCCGTCCGCTCTCCTCTCCCTCAGCGCCGCCGCCCGCGGGGCTGGGACCCGATGCGGTTAGAGCCGCGGAGCCTGGAGGAGCCCCGAGCGTGAGTAGAGCGCCGAGGGGCCGGGAGCGGGCGCGGTCGGGATGGGGTGGGAACTGGGGACTCTGGGGTGCGCCGTTTGGGGCGGGGGGCCGTCAGTCCTCTCTCCAAGCCTCAGTCCACACTGGACTTCACTGCTGTCGCATCTCTCCGCTGGCAGTCGCTGACCTCTCTCAGATGCAGAAGCAAAGGCTCGCTCTGCCTCTCCTTTCTCCACTAGCTGCCGCCTCTTTTCCTTGTTTCCTTCCTCTCCTCCCATTTCTGGGGATGGGGCAACCAGAGAGGCTGAGCAAGTGTTCCCAGGGCCACCGCCCCTGACCCGTCTCCTCGACTTGTCCCCTTGCACCCTGCACGCCCATCCGACAGGGACGGCATGGAGCCACGAGCTGTTCCTGTGGGCTGTCACGCCCGAGGGCACCGACCCTGGGCGGCCCTAAGCCTGCCTAGGTCTGGGTTTAAATCACCCGGCTGGGGTAGAGAAGGAAAACAGCTCCCCTCCCACCCTTCCTCTCCAGCTTGTTTTTTCCTTTTAACGAAGACAATCAAACGTGTTGGATCTTTCATTCATAGTCCTGAGACATTGTCTCATGTGACTGGTGTGTTTAGTAAGTCTATTATGTGATGCTTGTTTCATAGCTCCTAAGTGGCTTGGAAAGATAGGGAAAGCGCCCAAGATTGGGCTATGTAAACACCAGACGTTCAGCCAATGTGTTTTGACCGCGCGGCTTGAGGGATTTATTTTAGGATGCTAAAGGAATAGTGATAACGGTGGCTAGCACTGTTACCAGACTTGGAAATCGAAAGCTCTGTTTTCTTATATGGCAATAATTGGAGAGCTGTTTACACACATAAAGGGCAAAGCAAACACAACAAGAGGGGTTTTGTAGAAAACAGCCAGCATAGTCTTCAGTGAATTAGAGTTGTGATTTCTTTTTACTGAGGCTTCCTCATTCCAGCATTGCGCCTTTGTGCAAATGCAGAACATGGGTTTTAAGTAGGAGTTTCTGAGGCCTGGAGAACCCCTAGAAAACTTAGGTGTTCCAAGTACATGGAGCCGGGTTCTTTCTAGTGCCACTTTTGAACCATTGCAGACAAAGTTGCATGTTTCTTGCTTAGAAATAAGACTCTCTGGGTAGTTGCTTACACTGCACCATACACAATTTGATTATGTCTTGAATTGCATGTTATAAGTTAAAAACATAAGAATTATTTAAATCACTGTATTGCTAATTTAAAGAACTGTTTTTATTGAGCTCTTGAAGCAACTGCAGTCTAAGAATATGTTGATATGTATTCAAGTTTTGAGATTTTGTTTAATTGAAGAATTGAATTCTGGTTAAAGTCATAGATCTCTAGCTAAGCACTACATGTTCTGGAACTTTTTCATCATCAGATTTACTGTTCTGCAGTGGCATCAGTCAAAATTATATGAAGAGGGCCCAGGGGTTTTGTTTTTGTGTTTTAAGTTAGGTTTGGAGATAAAATTAACTAAAATACCATAACTTAAGTTTGTTACTTGGACTTTTCTCATTTCTGTAAAACAGAATTCTTACCTATTAAAATCACAAAATAAATGAATGAAAGAACTATGAGCACATCATGAAATAATAGCATAGTAGGGGGAAAAAAACTAGAAATTAAGTGAAACTGACAACTTTTTCTTCATTGTTTATAAAAAACTTCGCAATTCCTATTGCTTTTAATTCTGAAGAATTAAAAATAAATCATATATAAATGCAGAAGTATTTTTCTATAGCTAGTTTTATAAAAATCTAAAGTAAATTGTGTATAGTGTTAGAGATGTCACTAAACACAAATACTAAAATTGAAATTTTGCTGCATAAAAGTGAATATTCTCCTAGGCAAGGTGTAGGTAAAAGGGAGACCATAAAGAGCAGGAACTTTGCCTGGGTCTTTACAAGGAACAGTGCTGCAAGCAGAGCTTCCTTCCTGTCAGGATAAGATCCTTTGCATCCCTTATAAGTGTTCCCTTTAAAACACACACACACACAGTAAATTTATAAATCAAACAAATTATAATAATATAGATCATAATAAACTGTTTTTCTTAGTTTACTTTGTGTGTAGCTTATTCCTTATTAATGTCCTTTATAAACTGGATAAAGACTTTTAAACAGGAGTAATTAGCATTGAAAGGGCATTTGCTCTGTTGATCTGTTTATTTAAAAAGCACTAACTTAATCCCATTTGAACTCATTAGCAACTAGAATGGCATTTAAAGGATCAGCTATTTTTTTTATACTTTGGATGCCAAGGAGGAAAGAATCGTTAAGTGAAATGTAAATACGTTATGATACAAAAGTGTAAGGAAAAGAAAGAAAGAGACGAAGGAGAGAGTCTTGGCTTCAACAGCAGGCAGGTTTTTGAGAGTAAACCTGGGAGGGGGTGTCACCAAAGGAGACCTAGAGCCGTCTGTTCTCTTACAGACTGTGGTATTTAAGGTGGTGTAGTCTGGGTACAGTGCTGGTGAGTTTACAATGGGGGGGGTATGGAAATTTTCCTGAAACCAGGAATTTCCGGGGGGGGGGGGGTAAGGGTCTCCAGGTGTAACAAAGACCCAAGCTTCCCTGGAGATCAGAAGCTCAAGTAGGACCCCATTCAATTTCAATTGGGGGTAGTTGCAATGCCATTCTGTTGTTCAGTGCCATTCTGTTGATCAGGCGCAAGGTCCTTCAGTAAATATCATAAAAGATTTCATCTCTAGGGAAAATATTTGTGACCTTGAAAATTGTACAATTTTAGAAGCATAAAAGTCTTAGGATGTCATAGTTTATACCTTATTGGCATAGTTACCAGTATGATTTTTTAAAAGTATTAATATATCTTGACCTACATAATAATCCTGTAGACAGGACAGTATTATTATTCCTGAAAAATGACATTCTAATCTAAGGTCAAACAGGTGGCAGGTGACAGACTAATTGACAGAACTAAGGTTTTCTGATTCCTTTTATCATATATTATGCTGTTTCTAATCTGTACCAGCCTGCTTATTTAATAGATAAAGAAACAGAGACTTAGAGACGTTTAGTCAACTTAAGATCACCTTTTCACATACTTGGAGCAATAAATGTACATTTAATTCCCTAATATAATTTAAACAGTGTTTCTGAATCCTGAATGTACAAAAGAATCATCTAGGGAATATTTTTAAATACCACTGCCATGGTCTCACTCCTCAGAGATTCTGACTTACTGGTCTGAGATGGAGCTCAGACACCTGTCTTGTTTGTTTGTTTGAAAACTTTCCAAGTAATTCTGTTAGAATTGTAATGATGACATGTGCAGTTCGGGCCTTGACGTCATGTCTTTCTAGGTTGATTTCTCCTTCCTGCTCCAACAGCTACCCTGCCCTTTACATGCTCTTGTGTGAATTTTGCGAATGCTGTTTACTGTTGATCATTTGCCTACTCCATATTCCTGCCTTAGTTGACCTCTTGTTTTTCATGTCACTTCTTTGGAAGGTCTCGGTTTTGGGTTTCCTGCGCCGTAGAATCTTGTTCTTCTACTGCCACGTCTCTAATCTGTCTTATTGTAATCACCTATTCATTTGTGTCTTCCAATTGGATGTAAATTTCATGAGGATAAAGAATCTTTCTAAATGATATACTATTCCTTGTATTCTCATTGTGGAACACATTGCCAGTACTGTTAAGTCAGTTCTGATCCATGATGATCCCATGTATGTCAGAGTAGAGTTATGTTCCATACGTTTTCTAGTAACATATTTTTGGAAGTAGGTTGCCAGACCTTTCTACCCAGGCATTCTGGGTTTATTCAAACCTCCAGCTTTTTGGTTAGCAGTTGAGCAGCTTAACCATTTGCACTGCCCAGGAATCTTCAACACCAAGCATAGTAAAAAAAAAAAAAAAAAAATTTTAAACAGAAAAAAGAAAAATGAAACAAGTTGACTTTGAGTCAGTTCCACACATAGCAGCCCATGTGTTACAGAGTAGAACTGTTCATAAGGGTTTCTTTGCTGTAGTTTTTACAAAAGCAGATCACCAGGCCTTTCTTCCACTGTGTCACTAGGTGAGCCATCAAGTGCAAACCATTTGCCCTACTACAGGACCAGTACATAATAATGTACTTACTCATTGAATGAATATTGGAGATAGTTCATTACATGTGATAGTCCATAAATACAAATTGTGTTTTTCTTTACTCTTGCCAAATACATTTATTATTTTTGGACACTGAAAATTAACATACCTGATGTTGCCACACATACAAATTTCATTTGAAAACAGTTGAAATTATATAAATTATGTAAGTAGTGGTACCTCACTCCCACATATGCATACGTACATACAAAAGCAGAAAATAAAGATCACTGTTATACACAGCAAGAGAAAGATGTGACTTTTCTGCTCTGGCAAAGATTTATAGCCTTGGAAGCCCTATATAGGGTCGCTATGAGTTGGAACTGACACAATGGCACTTCACAACAACAGAATTATTCACAGCACTGTACTGGAAATCAGAAGATTTGAATTCAAATTCTAGTCTCAATCTCAGATGTAAACCTCTGTTCCCTCATATGGAACACAAGATTTCTACTGTGTTAAAGGTGCTCTATCTTTAACAAGGAGCTCTAGTAGTATAGTGGTTACGAATCGGGCTGTGAACCTTAAGGTCAGCAGTTCTAAACTACCAGCTGCTCCGCAGGAGAAAGATGAGGCTTTCTGCTCCCGTAAAGATTTATAGCCTCGGAAACCCTGTACAGGGTCGCTGTGGGTTGGAACTGACTCCACGGCAGATAACCACAACATCTTTACCAAAATATTCTGATTTTATAATCTGTGAGTATTGGAGATATTGCCTTTGAAATTTGATACTCCTTGGTTCAAAACCTGGCTCTTAACACTTAACTACAAGATTACCTTTGAGTAGTTGTTGAATTAAATGAGACACTGTATGTCCAAGAAGGCGTCCTGGTGATGCTACAAGGTTAGCTGTTCTAACCCACCAGTCGTTCCAAG